TTTGACTTTAATCTCAGAATTCTAACTTTAATCTCAGAATTCAGATTTTAATCTCAGAATTCTGACTTTTCTCAGAATTTTGACTTTAATCTCAGAATTCTAACTTTAATCTCAGAATTCAGATTTTAATCTCAGAATTCTGACTTTTCTCAGAATTTTGACTTTAATCTCAGAATTCTAACTTTAATCTCAGAATTCAGACTTTTCTCAGAATTCCGCGTGTCTGAGCAGAGAGAAGACCGAGACCAAATGCGGTCAAGTCCGAGACGAGACCATCATAAAAGACCGATCTCGAGTACTACAACACTGCCAGGGACTCAGTCTATTATAATTTTTCTTTTCCTGCCACATCTCAAAAATTATGGATTAATTTACCCTTGGAAATTAGACGGGACTTTTCTTATTTTATATTTCTTCTGAAAGCCCTTCTTTTACTTAAATAGACAGCCTGTGAGATGTTGCTTACGTCATATTATATTACCCGTTTTTGTTTATTTTTATGCAGTTTTATAAAGTTTTTATATAGGGCTGTTTACCTGTGTAATTGGAGTATTTTTTAGGTGTAGATTTTTAAGTTTTTCTTAATTTACTACAGATCTTAAGTTCCTGTACAGCTTGTTTAAGATGCTTTATAAAGTAGGTTGGAAATCAGTGTCATCATGTTGTAGCCCTAGATGTAACCCATGTCCGGGATAAGTGACGGTTCTTGAAGCGTTGACTTCATCCACAGTCCATGTCTTGTAAGCAAAAGTGTCAGAAGTATTTATCTTCTTTACTAGGATTCAGTATCAATAACATTTTTTAGACTTAGATAGATTTATTTATTATCATGTCATTATTTCTAGACAAAAAATTAAAAATTTAATTTTGTTTAAATCAGCTCTCTAGATAATTTCATTTTTTAAAGTGCAGGCTTGATGTCTAGTTTGTATCATTTTAAGCGGCATATTTTGTGAAATTTGTCGAGAGGAGCTGCTCTTGGCCGCTGCCTTGGAGCGCCGCCATGGTAATTTCAGGAATCAATTCATTTTAATCCAATCTTAGTTATTGTGCAAAATAGTAATTAAAAAATAAAAATCCTATCAAATTTATAGTCCCCGCACTGCAGATATATTAGAATCTGTCCTTAAATTACAGCCAAACCCATTTACACAGTAACAGATAAAAACCGTTAGATAAATAACACATTATCCGCCACATATCTGACTCAATAACCATTAAAACAACTATTTTCATTCATTTCAGACAGAACTATTCACATACTTGTAATATATAAAATTGAACACTGGAAAAACAATCTAGAAATAAGTAAACGTTTCTTAAATTAAGTGTATTGACCGCCTGAAATAAGACAATGTAATTGCATTTTCTTATTTTAAATGTTAATTGTCTCGTTCCATTGGCAAAATGTCTCTTTTATCTCCTCAATCCAAGAACAAATGCACTTATTTTAAGAAAAAATGACTCATCTAGATTTGGATTTTTTCCAGTGAACTGCCAATATTCACCACTGTTCGGTGCCAAGTACCTTTTTCCTCTGAGCACGGGGCAGCCAACTTGCTTGGTCTCGCAATGAATCCTGGGATAACCAAGGCTACATAGGATACACCCGACCCGTCCTTCAAATTGGGCAAAAAGGAGGCATTTTTCAGCCGCATAAGAAAGAGTCTTGGAATATGATGTAATTGGCCTACGAATCTGGCCTTCTGAGAACGCATCCCATGAATTCGAAAGCATCCAATGTTTAGCGCAACAGTGACAAGGTACCTTTAGTGGAGTAAACGTGCGTCCACAAGCAGGAAGCTGGATCCTCTCAGATTCCTTCACTCTGACGTCCCAGGTCCAGTAAGTAACGGTCAGTAAGTAAATCCAGCACTCTTTTTACATAAATGCCACACTGTGACGTAAACACGCACCAAGCTAAACAGACATAATAATCAGTCCAACTGCAGTAGCCATATTTCAACCCATAGAGGGCAGCACTAAGAACTTATGCTACGTTCACACCGGACGCAGCCGGCGCAGCAGAAGCAGCGAGTTTACATGCAAAGTCAATGGTTGACGCACGTCAAGGCACAGCAAAAGGTCCCGCAGCGCGTTTTGAGCGGCTAAAGCAGCACGTCGGGAGCGTTTATGCATCTGACGCGCGTGACACGCCGCAAACGAGCTGCTGCTCGAGATGGAAAAATTTAACTTTTGCTGCTCCACGCACCGCATCAACCAATCAGAGAGAAGCTCCGCCAAATGATGTAGCTGTGTTTTCAGACTGGAGGGAAAGACGGAGAAAAGCCGGGAATTTACAAAGATGCAAAAAAAGTTAATCATCGCTGTTTC